AGAGTAGACCCTGAAGCCAAAATTAGTTAGTCTCCTTCTAATTAAAATTCTCCCATCTCATAGGCCCTCTCACCCGGAGTTTGTGGAGTTAAAGTGTCATCATGATTATACGGCGACTAACCATGACCGGTATAGTTTGAGGGGAAGAGGCGTAAACTTGGTAGATCAGGGTGGAGAAATGTGGGGTCCTTGGTGACACGATACGGTATCCTCCGAGTATCACTATGGAAAGAGAGGATGCAATAAAAAAGTTCTGCACCCGATGTCTGGCTTTCGTTTGGACTTCGGGGAAAGGCGTTAGGCCGTTCAGTGGGGTGCTGTTGCCGGGTAGATTAATTGTAACATGTTAGTTCCGCCCACGGAAGTACTTCCAGTGAGTTGAAGTGGCGGTGAAGGAAGTTACAACATCGCCAGTAGATTTGTAGTATTAACAGTGAACTCATATGATGGAATCCGAAGAGTTCCTACTGTTTTTTGATCCCTCTCGTGAGAGCACATTCCTACCACTTTTCCACCGTTCTCGCCGGAAAAAATCCAGTGTACTATCTCTTGCAGCCGGCCCATTAGGGATAATAAAAGAGAGGTACAACAAAAGAAAGATCACCTACGAACAGTTCAACTTTTCCATCCACGATCACGATGACAATTGGTGCCTTGAATTCCTGCGATTCAATAAAACACAAATTATAATCCTTGCAGAAATACTAGAGATTGAGTCACGTTTCCGGTACCGTTATAGGGCTTCTGCGACCACAGCTCTCTCCATAGTATTATTCCGACTTTCTTGGCCCAGCCGATACAAAGAATTCCTGATATATTTTGGCCATGCATTTGGGTGGTGTTCAACGGTGATCAACGATGTATGTGTCTTTCTGCATACAAGATTTAAGGATCATCTCTTCTGGGATTCTGTACGCCTTACACAAGAGGTTCTCACAACCTATTGTACTGCGATCTATCACCATGGTGAACCCTCCGGCTGTATTTGGGGTTTTATTGATGGAACTCATCGACCTATTTGCAGGCCAAGCTCTCAAACGGCAGATCAACGTCTTTTATACAGTGGGTATAAAAAGATGCACACTATGGTTTGGCAGGCTGTAATTACACCAGATGGATTGATTAGCAGCCTTTCCGGCCCTTGGGAGGGGAAAAGGGGGGATTGGGGTGTGTTACGACTTTCAGGCTTACAAGATAAGATTAAATCTTATTGTTATGATACTGATGGGGACCGTGTATATATTTATGGTGATGCTGCGTATTATCTAGAAGATGGAATAATTGGAGCATACCGGGCGGGTAGAAACAGACCTTTGACTGACAGGGAGATTGAGTTTAATACAAGAATGGCTGCTATGCGAGTATCTTCAGAGTGGGGATTTGGGAAAATTGCGAATATGTGGTCCTTCTGTGGCTACAAGAATGAAATGAAGATTGGCCTGTCTCCTGTTGGTTCCTATTACTTTTGCGCTGTTTTATTTACCAATTGTCATACATGCTTTAATGGTTCAGTTACGGGAAATGTATTTAGATGTCTACCGCCAACAATTTGGGAGTACTTTGGACGGGAACAATAGAATTTCTAACCAATTACATATAAGAAATCAAGCATCACTTGCCCTCCTCAAATTATCCCGAAGGAATTGCATCATCTCCCCTTGGTTTTTCCTTGCCTCCTCCCGCATATCCAAAATCTCACTCTTGAAATGAGATCGTAGATCTGCAACTTCAGCCCTGATGGCAGCCTGTTCCGACCCACTACCACCACTCCTACTCTCTAGAAGTAGCCGGAAGTTACTGTTAAAATTTTCCATTTTTTCCTTTTCTATATCCTTAATAGAATTAAGAAGCTCCCGGTCACCTTCTTGATTCATGGCGATGATGTTATCAACCACTTTGGCATTCCCTTTAGGAAGAATCTCACGCACAACCTGTCGTTTATTGGCCTTCTCTGGTTCTTCCATATCAGAGGGAGCACCTCTTTTTTTCCCGAAAACATTACACATATCCTCCCGCACATTGTTGACAATTTCCCTTTCCCGACAACTTTCATCTTCAGATTTCTTTTTCCGGCTTTTTTCTATCTCCAATGAGTCCTTCAACTCAATCCAGACATCCAGAGCTTGATCCTTATCGGTCTCAGACCTCGCCACCCCGCTCTTCCCTTTGTCCTGCTTGACCCGCTCCCTCCTGTCCTTCTCATAGTTCTTCATCATGCCCTGAACTACTAGATCGATACCAGTAGCCTCACAGAATATGGCTCGCATGTTGCTCCAGTATTCCTCCCTAGGACCCCTCACATACTCCTCAAAGTGGTTCACACAGGTACGGACCAATAGAGCCTGGTCCTCGGGATCCTTCAGATAAACTCTCTTTTTTCTTTTTGAACCAGTATCTAACTCCTCCTGCCCCATATCAAGCAGCTCTATAGGTGCGGCTGCTGCGGCTTGAGTGCCCGCGGCTGTGTCTATCGGCGACGCCGCTGCGGCTTGAACGGCGGCTTGAACGCTCGCAGCTGGTGCTGTTGTAGAGAGTGACTGATATGCGGCTGTGTCTCTCGGCAGCGGCGTTGCGGCTGGGGACAGTGCGGCTGTATATCTCGGCGCATGAGTGTAGCTGTGGAGAGCTGCAGCGTATTGTGCAGCATGTATCATTTGAGCTACCTCTTCCTCATCTAATTCAAGGTTGAAGCTATCATCTAGCTTTATTTTATTAGAATTAATATCAAATTAGGTAGAAGATGTACTCACAGGGAACATAAATGGATGTGACATCTTGGTTGATGGTGATTGATAATAGGTTGTGAGTGTCGAGGAGATCAACCTGAGGTTTGGTTGTGAACATGTTGAAAATGCGCCAAAAGTGATGTAACCTCCGGAGATTGACTAGCCCCAAGGCTAAGGTGAAAGCCAGCCTAACGGCTGGATCACTGTAATCCAGAGACCCTCCTCAACTTTCACCCTCAATCACTCCATTCCCAAGCGGTGCCGACCCAGTCCGCATCCAGTCCGAACCAATCCCAATCGTCCTGAAAGCCAGACTTCGGGTGCAGAACTTTTTTAATGAGTGAAGGAGACTGATTTGGAAACTTGCAGGGCTGGTGAGACGATTTGAGCCTTTCTGGGCCAGTGTCAGCGAAGTCTCTCGCTCTCGACTTCTGTTTTAGCTGGGATTGTGGGGATTCAAAGCTAGCAGGCGAGCCTTGTTGTCTGGTGATGTTTTTATGGCGGCTGCCATATAGGTAATATTTTGAAATCAATATAGCGGTACCGGGAATCTGAGATCCGACCGGTAACCCCGAACTCATTATCTAGTGGGACTGGCGAGCGAAATTCGGGAGTGGTAGTGTGTGCGAGGGTGAGGGTCTGTACTGGTAGTTCTCGTGATGGTTGGTGATGGTTGGTGGTTGATGAGATGGCCAATCCTCGGAATGGAAACGAAACACGACTGGGTTAGGTGGCTGAGCTTCTTGTAGGTACTCCACTGTACGCCATGCTGTGACGATGATCTAGACTGGCCATTCTCTGGACTAGTCATCTCCCTGTTTAAATAACATGGTATAAATACAAATTCTTCCCGCTAGCGTCCACAATAAGTTTTCTAGTTGTTTGAAAAAGCTTGTCAGTGCATTAGGGAAGAAGTAGTACGCGCCATCTACGTATAAGCAGTACTGCATGTCTATACCTGAAAATCGGGATCTAGTCACGGTGTCACTCAAAATCTTCTCGTCAACCGATTTGAGAACCCTAAATAATCTAATCTAATGAGACGCACGCTAGCTTTAGAGTAATTTAGCCACCTGTCGATATAATTGGCTATAATTAACGCTAAAATCTACTATTAATTTAGCCACGGATTATCATTCAACCGACATTGCATGTTTAATGGATTTTAGGAACGTCAATACGTTGTTTGAAAACGTACTCCATACATGTAGGTGCATATGTAGGTATATATCCCAAGTATGTAGTCTATACATATATGAAAACAAGATAATTGTGTGCGCGAATATTTTCTTTCGTAACGGTGGTAGCATCAAAATTTGGTGGAGTTATAATTAGTCTATCAATGCTTTGATCCTCAACCACATGTATACAACTTGGCTCCCGCAAGCGTCTTCAACTGTTCCAGATCAAAACATATCCCCTCGCGATCGTAACATGGTTCATCGGATATCAAACGGCCGGGAGTTAAGCTCCTTTAATATCACTTGCCACCCTTTGTAGATCTCGCACACATGATGGGGATAAGTATATTTAGTTTCTTGTGTAGTGTACTTTCTATCTCGGAGGGGCCGAAAAATAGCCATGTTATTGCCATCTCGATTGCCGACACGCAGATTCTGCCCCTGATCAGTATTTTAGAGCGGATTTTCAGTGGGATCGAGGCTAGAGTATAACTAGCTGCAGATAGTCGAGAACTTATTATTGCCCCTCGGGTTTCAACGGCAAATGAATTTTAATGCGAAGGCCACACAAAAATAGGTACATGTAGCTATCGTTGATGTTGTATTGCGATGGCCTCGTTTTTCTAGTCTCTTTGATCTTTGGGATTGAAAATATTTTATCCGAAATTGGCAAACATCCAAACTCCCTTTCAATAAATCAGCTTCGTCCGTATAGCGGATGCATATCGAATTTTAAGTAATGCTGGGTTGAATCTTAATCTGCATTAGTTTCAACCATCATAATCACAAGATCGCACTCGCTCCTCCCGTAACAATAAAGGATTAAAGGATAGATACGAGTATTTTGACAAGAATAAGCCTAAAGCAAATGGTCTACACACAATCTAGGGGACCAGCTAAAGAGAAACGAAACCATTTTAAATATCAAAAAAAATCGTAAAACATCCTTTCAATAGCACCAAAAATACCAGATAACCCGTCCCGGACCCGCAAGAAAAGACATATATATATATATAAAAGAATGAGATAGAAATGAAAGTTGTAGACCGGGAATACCATTTCAAGTCCAAACGCTTATTGACCAGCCAATTTATCAAACTAACAACAACTCCATACCCAGATCCCTCATAACAGTCCTCCAATGGACCTCCTGCCCGCGGCCGACCCCATGCTTTAAGTCCCTTTCGTCGCTTCGCTTCCATACCTCTAGCATGATTGCTGCAACCCCAGATAAAACCCCACCACATGTACAACGGCTAGCAAAATACTCGCGATCCTGCGGTTCAATGGCGATACAGCCCCCGACAAGCAATGGCCACATGATAGTTCTATTGAGCCTGATTGGAACTAATGTAACCATCACCATTAGTTCTTGGAGTAGCTGTTTGAAGAACCTGAGGCGTGGGAAGAAGCCAATCCCGATGCTCCAGAGATGTATTCTTGTTGCAGTGCGAAAAGCGGCTGTGGTCGCCTTAATTATTATACCTTGGTCAGGGATTGCCTCCGGGGGTATTTCGTATTCGCTAGAGTAGTCTGCGCAGTCCAAGACCGATTGCTCCCTGATGGTGAGAACGCTTTCAGTCGAAGAACTTGGAGGTGTCCAAATAGAAGCTTCAACATTAGGGCCCGGTGATGTAAATGGGTGGTGCGGGCTCTCATATTCAGCTAAAGGACTCCGCGGGCTCGAAGTTGTCCACGATGGTGATGGTGACAGAAAGTAACTGTTGGTGTCATCGTCTGAATCGTAATCGTCGTGTGATTGTAGTGACGCCTCCGGCGGTTCTGGAGAAGGGGGTAATTGTACGGTAACGGGTAGATCCCGGTCTCTCAAGCGTGTATCCAACTCCATTGCTCTGCTCCTGCCTCTAGTCCAGCTAAGCACACCGTCGTCGAATGATCGGAATTTGTAATCCTCGACACACATAACCTCAGATATAAGAAACAATACTGTATCATCACAGCCTGTCATTTCCAGCAACCCGCAGTAGGATCTCTCATGTACAGGCCGGGACAGTATCTCCCGATAGTTTGCCCATAATTGTGGAGCACGTCCAAGTGTTAGTGCCGAGAGTATGTCGAGCCAAATGACACGCGACATCATGAATTGCGTAGTAGCAGTGTGGATCGGTTTATTGAGAAGATCCATTTGAACAAGACATTCAATTGCGGCTTCAAGGTGCGGCTTCCAATTGGATAGCGTTGGCGGTACCTATAAGATCGATTAGTTACTTTTCTGTATATATGAATCATTCCTAACGGTTGATGTATGGATGATTAAACTTAGCCAAAAAGAATATGGTGGGCAGTTTAACCTCGGGGGATGTAAGTGACAACATCAAAGCGAGGCTTTGTTCTGATGGCCCTTCGTCTGCCAGTCTTTCATTCAATTCTCTTATACACTCCGTGCTGTATTTGTAAGCGTCTAGTGCCAAATCCTTAATGTGTGGCCCAGACTGTCCGCAAGATATGGTCAGATGCATGGCACTATTGCTCATACATCCCTTTACGAATCCAGGACAGATACACAGCAATGGAACGATGACGTTCCGTAGTGTTTCGTGAATTCGGGATTCCGACATACCACAGAAGATCGACCGAAAAACGTTTCGGATGTAATTCTTGATGAGTTTCATCTCTGAGGTTGGATAATCTGAGGTTTCCAATGGTCCCAGGGCTTGACTATTAGATGACATAAACGATGCTATGATAATGTCATACTCATTATTGAAAGTCTCCTCCTCTTTTGTCCTTGTACAGATGGATTTTAAGGGTTTCCAGAGCGGGGGTGTAGTTACTAAAAGGACCCCCGATCTGATGTTTTCCAACAAAGGCTTCCCTGTACGTCCATCTAGCAGACCATAATCAGATGGGGGATGTTCACTCCTCGCGAAGGAGTTTCTGACTGGACAGCGAAAGCACCCGAGAGGTGGATGGGGCGAGTCGAGCATTTCAACGGCTTGAGGATTGGATTTTCCAGTTTCGTTGAAGGGCTTTAGAATCAATATTCCACCATCAATAGTTTCAAACCCAAACATATCTTCCCTATTATCCAGCTGTGTACTGCCCCGGTTCTTCCTCTTTCGTCTACATCGCTTGCCGATTTGGAGCTTAATTTCATCCTTCTTCACTTTTGCTGCCTCCGGGTCTTTCATCCAAGCCGGCTGAGCAACGCCGTAACCATCGCATTGTATTTTCAGGTTTCGGCACTGTTGACATGTGGGTCTGGTTTCATCGCATTTCTTTTTGCGGAGGCGACAGATCCAACAGCCTGTCAATAGTAAATGAATCAGTGACTGGAAAACATCTGTAGGAAAACAACGACAGAACCATTGACATACCAGTTCGTGAGCGGGGGTGACGCGTTGGAGCCATGGGCACTGTTCACAAGCATGTTCATGGAAGTCCACGCAGGCAGAGCAGGATGGTGGCTACATGTAGTTATGTGAGAGGATCTTTCGTTGCAAAGCCACGTTGTAGAATGTATGTTACCATCGAGATCGATATTACTTTCTAGGCCTATCATAGATCGGACATGGCCATGAATTATGGGACCGGAGCACGGACCTGTGGTACATACATGTACTCTACTTGAATAAGACGTGGGGAACTAATGCACTACAGAAGCTAATGATTGGAGCAGCACGGAGGGTGGGGATCGAAGGGGCCCGGGACTGAGGTGAAAATGTATCACCTACTGAGTCAAAATGATGAAAAGGAATAAGCAGTAGATAGTAGTTCACTCGTAATTGCCATGAGGCGAGGAATGAGGTGTGACAATCTTGTTCTCAAACATGTCCAACCGCGCAGCCGTGGCTCTACCAAAGATAGTCACGCACCCGCCGGTCTACGTAAGAAAAATATATGTTCCGGTGCAGTTCACCTGGTATTTCTGCTAAGCTTTCTATTCCCCATGCACAGTACCCTACTAGTATACGGCTAGCTGCCGTTACCCCTGTCCATGCGACCATCGAGTGGAGTTACAACTCTAGATACTCTCGGACAGTTAATGATGATTGGTGGAGAAGATGTATACACAGAAGGTTGATTTTCTCTTTTCTACGTTAGCTGTCCAAGTGAGGGGGGTGTCCGAGTGGCCAGGGAAGCCGTCTATCATAATCGAGTCTACCTCCCTACTGTTAGCAGCAAGCTGCTCGTAGGGGATGGGTACGATCGCGAGACTACCCTCAATAAGTTTTTGCGTCTCTGCCAAGGTAAGTACTCTCCCTCCTTCTCTACAGAGTTTCGGCTATCCCGCGGCCTTTCTTTGCGGCTTCAAACCGGCCGCGAGTATACATACATACATAATATCTACTCGCAACAACTATCCACGACTTTTCTTACTGGCAGATAGACAATTTTAAAGAGCTCTGCAGTAGCATAACAAGGAAGCAAGGCAAGCCATTGTACGAAGGAAAATCCCTTCGTTCGTTTTGCTGCAATCAAACCTCTGTACCACTGATAATCAAAAAGAGATATCATATTATTATTTTTTGGTTATTTCTCCTGCCTTGGTTTTTCTTCTCTCCACATGTCTTAGCGGGCCGTCTCCCACGCGTTGAAAGATGAAAGACAGCGGGAATTAAAAGCCCTCTAACCGAGGGCAGATGTGAACGATCAAGTGGGTGGCTTGTAGATTTCCACCTCTGTGGTACCTCTTACACGCAGTTATTGTATCACTCGCTCAGATATCGAAGGGAAATTCCACTGCCAGCAGGGGCAACAACAGACTTATAATCAACACAACATTAGCGGAAGGTAGTCATCGATCACCGTCATCATCATCATTGGTTTAGCCTAAGAACTGTGGCGAGTGATCTGGCAGCCAATAAGCGCTCACCTTTTGCAGTCTTTAGATCAATTACCTTTTTTGTCTGGGCCTAAATCACCCTCAGTACTTGGCAGGAGGAATGGTAACGATCAGGGCAAAAAACCACGGCCCTTCGCCACAGAACTTGGCGTTGGCTCTCAAACAGTGCCTAGTATAGCAACCGGAGCCTGATACAGAAAGAGGGGACATCCTATCCTTCTGTCGACTGACACGGGGTGGCATACGCTGTCTATCCCACACCCTAGCTCTTCTTTATTAAACTTCTATAGCCATACTTGATGGGGCGGGCTTGTAGGAGGTGTGGGACAAAACCCACATACTCGCGCTGCCGGATTGAAGTTGCCAGAGTCGCATACATTTCAATCACAGGATCTCACTCGACCGTAACTACTCATAGGAAAACCGGAAAAAGCCGATCCCATTAAACCGCCATTTATCTTCAAATTATTCTTCTAGGTGATGTTAGCAATCATTCACTGAATATTTCTTTAACAAGAATCTTTTTGTTGATCTTCCCCATCTGGTTCCTTCTGATCTCATCGACCACCTTCATTATCGAAGGGACCTTATATCTGGCCAAATTTTTCTTCAAAGATTCCCGCATTTCCTTTCGACCGAACTTTTCTTCCTTGCCTTTCGGGGTTAGTACGACCACAGCAGCGACCTTTTGACCCCAGACGGCATCTGAGAGGGCCACGACGGCCGCTTCTTTGACCTGGGGCCTGCCGGTGTTTATTAGCTCTATCTCGAGAGAATAAAAGGAAAATAGGGAATTTACAATTCTAACAACTCTCGTTCAACTTCCAAGGCCGATATTTTTTCACCCCCAGATTTGATAACTACCAATGATCAGCACACCACATTTTGTGATCAAGGAATGATGAGCCTACTATCGACACTCGCCCTACCCCTTATAAAATATGCCCCTCTGTTATCTCTTATCGCTATATCACCGGTCTTGAACCACTTTCGCCCGGCCTCATCCTCCACAAACTCCTTCGCGGTTGCCTCTGGTTTGCCCCAATATTCCCTAAATACTGTATCGCCCCTGATCTGGATTTCACCCTCTTTCTCTGTATCCTGAATGATACTCCCAGACTCTATATCAACTAGTCGAGCCTCCACCCCTGGAAGCGGCCACCCGACAGAATTGCTCATCCGGCAATCTAGCGCTAATTTCTGCGACAAGGCCATCCCAATCTCCGTCATCCCATACCGCTCTAGTATCGTTCCTCCACCAAGCTCGGTCCCCGCAAGTGCCCGCCACTGATCCTTGATACTTCCCGGAAGCGCTGCACTCCCAGAGATTGCTAACCGCAGCTTTCCAACCGCCTCTCTCCCTTTTTCCTTTGTATCCTCAGGCAGGCCCGAAAACGCAGATAGAAGCCGGTTATAAACCGTTGGTACCGCCATAAATAGTGATACCCCAGGTTTTTTCACCTTTGCATCTACACTCACACCTGCTGCAAATCGCTCCCACACTCCTGCAGCATTAAATGGAAACATGTATTCTATCGTCCCCCCCGAGAAAAGCGGCGCAAGCGTTCCGTTTACCACGCCATGGATATGATGTAGCGGTAGGACATGCAGAAGATGGTCTTTGTGCATCATCCATTCCTGTATGATACAACTGCTCTGGGCAGCCAGAGCCTTGTGAGTGCTGACAACACCTTTGGGCAGGTTAGTCGTGCCGGAGGTGTATATTATTAACGCCCCTCTGTCAACCAATCCTGCATTGTCTGTAAGCTCGACCGGAGGCACGTCAGTGCCTTCATGAGGGAGGCGTTTGTGGGGGCAATCGATGCTACAGACATGGTCTGTGGAGGAAGAAGAAGAGGAGTCGAAGATGGCTTCGCACTGTTTCTGGAACTTGGTAGAGGTAACGAGGAGGGAAGGCGTGGAATTTGTGACGACGTAGCGCATCTCGTTCGTAGGATGGGAAGTACATAATGGGACCGCAATGCCCCCAGAGGCAAATATTCCGAGCATACTCACTTGATATCACTCTCAGTATTTTTATTCTCTCCACATGCAAAGCCAGAGTTATAATTCCAGCTTTCTGTTATACCTCAGTAGCTAATTTGACCAACATTATACATACCTACATAGTCATATCCGTTCTCCACCAGCATCGCAACCCGCTTCTCCTCTAGGTTCTGCTGTTTTTCCGACCCAGTGAGCTTCAAAAGCTGCTCTTTATAGAGCGCTGTATCGGCGAGTAAGTTCCCATAACTGAAACTGCGCCCAGAGGCAGAGTGTACTACTGCGGTATCATCTTTGGGATGAGATGCGAGCGCCTCGAATATGGGGAGTCGGGGTAGTGTTAGCTTCTGCTGTTGAAGTCCAATAGCTGTTGACGCGAATCCCCGGCGTTGGAACAAATTCTGAATGCGGGCACGTAGAATTGCCATCTTTTTGGTCTTGGAATTTTTTCTTTCTGAGCTCCTGCACTGCAGTGCTCGAGGATGGTTTTATTTGCGGGTTGCAATTTAATGACTAACGTCATACATACCAACCTCGGCGACCGCCAAGCAAATCTCAGTCATCGGGCCATGCAGCTCCTCTCACCCCACACACCCCCCACATCCCAGAATCACATGATATCACCCTCCCGACTGCTTCACCTCTGCGAGAAACCTCATACAAAACAATGCTGCACCTCGCCCGACGCTTCGCAACAATGGCCAGCAGCTCCCTCACGCCCATGGAGGACGCAATCCGGTCTAAAGTATGACTACCCCTTCATCAATTGCAAGGCCTTAGAGTAAGAAGTTATATTATCCTAACCCCCACCACCATAACCACAGCTCACGGCCGCCCTCGCACCTACCACTCTCGAGATATGGAACGACTCGCACAAACACTCGCACCATAAGGCTATGGAGGGTGTTACGAGTAAAGAGACACACTTCCGGTACTACCCCTTCATCTACCCCACCAACAATTGCTCCAACTAACCACCGCCTCCACCGCAATAGGCTAGTCATCACCTCTGCAGCCTTCGCCTCAAAGCCACAACTTGCCCGCCATAGAGCTGTCAATGCGCTCCTTAAAGAGGAGCTCGAGCGCGAAGGTGGCATCCACGCACTGCAGCTGCGGACCCTCACCCCGGAGGAGGAGGAGCGGTTAATGAAGCGGGCAAAGGAGCTGGAAAGTCAGGGCGAGGAAAGCAAATAAGTATTAGGTTCGTCCCACTTCTCGGCGAGCTTTCCCGGTATCACTGTCACTCAATTTACATGCCCAGAAAGCTTGCTTATGATATGTGCGGTAGCAGGCACATAGTAGCCTAATATTCACGCGTGAAAATAAAAGGACTATCTTATGAATATAAAGTTTCACCACCTGCCGATATCGGGCCCGATGTCAATGTCGATATCGATGTCGATATAGTTTTAGACGCCTACTCACAAACTCAAAGACAAAAACACAAGATTGATCGTCGGGGCGGAGCTTATATCACGTGCAGATGTATGTGACTGTAATCAACTAATAAGGCGCTTGATATCAGGATTTACCAAGATTCAGATAAAAGGAAATGCAGCCAGGAATGCCAAGTTGATGAAATGAGACTAAAAACAAGTTTATCCCCTGGCCCCTCAACGATAACAGTGAGTGCGGGGAAATTATTTCTTGTGTATGATCATCGGCTGCAAGAAGAGTGAAGCTTCGCATAGCAAATTAAAGTAAAATGACTAGAGCTACATAGTTTATTAAAAACACTACATACATTTACCACAACAAAGAGGAAAATTTCCCAGAAGTCCAGCTCCCTTCCGAATTTCAATTCGTCAACCATTCTTTTCAACCCGCATCTACCCCATGCCTGTGCGTGTCCTGAGGCTCAATCTTCGCCACCCTTCCACCGAGCCGCACCTAACCTTAACCCATCCTACACCGAGTGATATCCAATGACTCTCATGGCCAGATGCACCACAACACGTGAACAGCTCAACTGCAGGCCAACAGCTCAAAGTAACGAATCTCATTGCCTATCGGAGAACAAAAAAAAAAAAATCCACCCCTCGCCCTGTGAGGGAGGTGGGGGGGGGGGGGGGAAGGGGACCTCCTGACCTCAGAAAGAAAGGCATCTGTATGGAGCTCCTCCTGCCTGCCTTACTTTTGGCCTGCCTTACTTCTCTGCCCTGCCATATCTACCCTGCCCCAACTGCCATGTCCCAACCCGGTATGAATACGTTCAATGTGTAGCCAGGGCATCTACCTGCTCTGATATATCATCCATCAATCAAATATAATGAAAAGCAACAAGTACGCCAGTGAGAGCCCATCAAGTTCAAAGAAGCAAACACGCATGTCGCGAAAAAAGCAAAATGTCTCGAAAAAGAAAAAGAAAAAGGCAACAATGTCGAATAATTTTCGGGGACCACCCCTAGTTTCACTCACGCGTTTCTTTTTCGCTTTGCTTTTTTTCTTTTGCCCTTTTTCTTTCTTCCTCGTGCAATAAGGTAACGTAGAGTAGAGTAGTATGCCAAGGAGGTCCCTTTTCATGCTCATTCAAGCCCACGAAGAGAGACGAGACGAAAGACCACGCCGCAGAATGTAGTAAAACGAATTCCTTAGAGAAGGCCAAGAAAGGAATAGGAGTAGAGAGAGGAAACAAAAAAGAAAGCCCGAAAATCAAGAGATCGATAAACAAAAGATGACCGACACCTTGGGCGGAAGCAAAAGAAGAAGGTAGGGAGAAAAAAAGGACTTATCACAAAAACACCCGTAGGAAGCAAAAAAGCCAGAAAGAAAAATCGAAAAGAAACCACACAAAAAAAGAACCCTCGTCAATCCCCATGAAAAATAGCAATGAACCCATCTTGTAAGTACGTTTGTTACGTATGCCTCGTATCAGTACACGCGCCGCCCGCCAAAAAAGAAAATAGAAGAAATAATGGCCGGGTTTTTTTTTGGTTCCTCCATGTTCATATATATGATGTTTAGCAGCCCACAAGAACTCAACTAAGACAGATTTGGTTTGTTCGAATTTTGGCCCTGCCTGATACCAGGCATGGATACCCATCGCTACTCCCCGATTTTTTGTTAAGAGTCGCCCCTGTGGCGTCAAGTCGTTATATCATGATTTCCGAAGTTTATATACCGAATTACCCCAGTCGAAATACAGGATAATGCTTTAGAAGCTTTGAGCAGCCATGCTTGCAGGCTAGAGAAAGATGTCAGTATCAAGCATATAGATGTAGTCGCAATCAGACATGAAATATTTGGGGGCGTGTTCCTACCGGGCTCTGGTGCATCATGGAGTTTCTCTGACTTCTTCCTTTTTTCATTTGTTGTTTCAAAGCTGCCGAGTCCAACGGTTTGAGCAGTTCAAAGCTACACAGCAACTCGCCAGATACCGACATGACAGCACCCCAGTTATCGAATTCTCCACAATACTTTTTAAAGTGATAATTAGCTTCCAGAAGAGAATATGTCAAAATTGCCTGTAACTTACGTTTGGTGCCGAAAACACAGTGACCAATGTCCTTTCGTTAAAAAACTCATAACCGTCTTCAACAACCATGTGCGCTCTACACACTAGGTCGAAGTCGTGCCTCGCAAGAAAATCCAAAATAACTTTCTTTCCAAAGCAGTAGCTAACCCCTCGCTCATTGTCTGCCCAATCGTTTAACATATCCGCCGGGTCACTCCAAAGAAGATCGTTCAATAGACCAAAGTCCGGCACATCAGTCGGCCGAGCAATTTGCCGAATGTCGTCCATGTGTTGGAGGGAAGGCGAAAGGCCACCGTGAACGCAGAATATTTTGCCTGCAACAATAGATGCTATTGGGAGGCAATTAAAAGTATCGACGAATGTTTTCCAGATTTTGATATTGCATCTACGTTTGCACTCATCGTAAAATCCGTATACTATTTATAAATGAAAATTTGTTAGTAAGATATATAAACCCTATCTCTAGTTCTTCTAGATGAGGTTCGTACCTCGTGTAACGTTTGCACATTCGTGGTTCCCTCGCAACAAAAAGAAGTTCTCGGGAAACTTCAACTTGTAACAAAGAAGCAGTAGAATCGTCTCAAGACTCTGTTTGCCACGATCGACGTAATCACCCAAAAAGAGATAGTTTGAGTTTGGTGGAAATCCACACATCTCAAACATACGAATTAGGTCCGTGTACTGGCCATGCACATCTCCCACGATTTTCACAGGTGGGCTCAATTCCACCAGTGCTGGCTGCGAAAGGAATATTTCTCTTGCAGCGTGACAAATAGCAATAATTTCCGCATTCTTGAGGCACACAGCCTTGGTGACCTTGCCTGCGTAACCTGCGTCAAGAAGTCGTGTGATCATATCGTCGAGATCTATAGATTTTAGTGCTGACATCTGCATATGATCTGCCGCACCGGTAGCTGCATCTTCGGCAGAACCGTTTGCTCGGGTTACTGGGTTGGGTGCATTCTCTCGCTTGATCAAGATGGATTCAGTGGGTTTCTGTGAATGTGGCGGCTGCATAGAACCGGCCCCGGGGGGCACATCAGATACATGGTCCACTTCTTTATTTCCAGCTGACTGGTGTCCTTTTCCTACGGATCCATGGATGGGAGATGGGGGTGGTACCAGATCGTTTGTTGAATCGTACGGGGTGGTAGCTGTTGTGGATGGCTCTGATCCAGGAACTGGCTTGACACCATTTGTAAGTACTGGAGATGGAAGGTTGCCGTTAGAGCCTCGTGACTCCCTGCGCGAACGCCCACTAGTAGAGGATTTTATAGATGCTGCATCTGACTTGTCGATTGGGGAGGGGATGACCGCTGACGAATTCGTAGGGCTACTATCTTTGTCCTTGTTAGATGAAATCTTATTGCGAATGGATCCTCGGATAGATCTGGTCGATCCCATGGTATCCGACTTTGAGATCGGTAAAGTGCTTCCATCTGGGGCAGAGGAGCTCGACGACTGGTTTCCTTTGTCACCGGAACGTTTTGAAGGCTGCTGGCCCATTATCTGTCGTGGCAGCCAACCTCCGCGAGTATATATAGCAGGGTTTTTGAGTTTAAGTTTACCGAAAAAGGTACCTTTCTTTTGTGGGGGAAAGGTAGAAGGGGGTGGGAGGTAATAGAGATTGGACGACGATGTGATGACGGCAGGTAGTGGGTCTAGTTAGGAATGTGGCTGATAGGGTTGCTTTGCGAGTGGCAAATAAAGTGATGTGATTTACAAAGCCAAGGATTCTGGACTCGACGGGACTAAGATGTAGGCAAAGCAAAGGCAACAAGGAAGTGGTGATGGAAAACCTAGCTTAGGGAGGTTCAAAGAGCGAATTTAAGAAAAGGAGAAACTGCCTCTCGAGAATGGGCGTCGTCTTGAAAATCGCTCCGTGATCCCCAGGTAATAGTTTACAGAGGGGAAGTGGAAGAAAGATAGGAGGAGGATGGGGAGTTTGTTGAGGGAAGGGACGGTAGTGGTGGTCCGTGAGGATCGTGAAGGAGTCCGTGTTGGTGAACTCGCAATTAGCAACGACGATTGAAGGAGAATGTGTCTTATTCCTCCAGCAACAATTCAACGATGATGTGGTGTTAAAAGGTTTAGTCGCAGCTAATACTGCTTACTGCTTGCTTCTGTTATATGGGTAGAGCGCTGAGCTTTGTTAGTATCCGGGAGTCTATCTCGGCAGGTACAGGCTGCACGAGTGGTATGAGGAAAAGAGGGTGAAGAGGGAGGGGGTGGGAGGTTGTTTTGAGTGAAGGAAATGTTGAGTGTGGGGGGGGGGGGGTTGTAAGGAAGAAAGCCGTGCGTGCAGTAATGGCAAATTACAGAGAGCAATAGGGAAGACGGGGGAAGACGGATGATAGATTCGGGACTGGGAGATAAGCTTCATTCTTTCGTCTCCTCTATCCATCCATCTCTCTCTATCCATCCATCTCTCTCAACCTCTACCACAAGCAAGCGAGACTGGTTCTCACCAATTCGGGGAGACTTTGTACGAAAGAAACGTCAGGACTAATCAAACCAATAACTCACTTTCTAAGATCTGTTTTAAGCTCTGTCGCTCAAGCTAGCGCTGCCCACTAGCAGTCCGGTTTGGTTTGATGAATACCTGTGGATAGAGCTCGTACATGTATTTTCTCTGCGGAAGAACAATAGAGAGGGGAGGTGAGGGGAGGCGCAAGAAAGGGAAGAGGCAGCAGTTGTCCGTGATAATGGTGGAAGGTTGTGGAGATGGCGGATGTATGAAGGTGAGGAGGGATGGATGCACGCGAGAAAATAATATGGGGAGGGGGTAGTCTTGGAGTTTCAGTTTTCACTTCAGTTACATATCATGTGTAGGAGTGCAGCATGCATGTTAAGTACATGTATCTATGTTACGTATGCCTCAAGTGGCGCCTAGTGCCCAGTGTTTTGTTGTGAGGTTTGTTTTCCACCTTCTACCTTGAGCAGCAACCGCAATTCCTTCTTTTACGAACAATCGGAGCTAAAGATGTGAATATCGAGACCGAGAGAGGAGGGTGGGAAAGCCTCACTACCGGGAACCCGAACTTGAGATGGGGAGGAGGTTCAAGAAATGAATTTTTTTTTTTTTTTTTTTTTTTGGTCTGGTCTGACCTGGTCTGGCCAACCCTACCTACATGATACTCGCATGCCTAGCTAACCTAGAGTACCTACATACCTACACCACATAGCACACAACCTACACTGTACCTATCTATCCGCCTTGCTAGAGCGATAAGTCTGATAAATAGCCTTGCACCGCGCCTCGGAGAAACAGCCAACAAGCCATAAACCCGCTCGCTCGGTCAGCGAAGGTTCCGAATCTCCGGGATCGAATGACACACAATTCCTTGAAAATGGGGAATTGTTCATGGGCATGAGCATGAGCAGCAACGGCAGCAGAAGCAGCACAGTGCCTGATACAATCAATCTATCAATCAATGCCACTGGTGGAGAATCAACATGCGTGCGAAGGAACACCGATTAGAACAATCTTCGGTGACGGTATCGTAACATCGAGAGCGGGTATAGTACCATAGTGCCGCCCGGCTGAAATAAAATATTTTTTTTCTCCGGCAGACAATCACAGATGTTCGACTTCTCCCCCATCGTGCAAGAAATGCACCTTCGTGGGATTCTGTCACACCCGCTGAATTGAGCCGCCGAAGCTGCGGGAAGAAGCATTAAAGGATACAAGGAAATCGATTACTGTCTGGTCTGCTCTTCTGTTGCACTGCTTAAAAACGGCGTTACAGATCGATTACCAGTTGGGTGTACTCATCACTCCTTCCAATTCACGAGTAGACGAGGATGCACAACGAACGAATCATCAGCAACCGCCGACCTAATCTGATCTTTCCTGCGGCAGATACCACATCGTGAAGGCAGTTACCCATTTAAAAAGACCACGGGGTTACAAAACATCAATATGAACGGGGGATATCTAACCCCCATATATCTATGCAATATTATATTGGCATGCCCACCCATGCCACTAAAAGAAAAATTCGTACTACCGCGCGGGAGCTGCATAAAGCAACCACGCTGGCAATCCCCTTCGCGCTTTCGCTCGAGCATCTTGACTTCCTTCTCTTGCAGATCAAGGGAGGAGGGGGAAAGCGATTATCACCCTTGGTCACGGGTCTGGCGCACGTCTGTTAGCACGTCTGTTTAGAGTACATACATTACCTACCCCTGCAAGCCGCCCCAAAACTACATGTACCTACCTTAGAGTAGGAGAAGGTACGGGCGACATGCGCTGTTCGTGACGAGTCCAGAAGAATAACTATTTAACTAAGTACCTGCGGGGTAAGGTGGTCATATGAATACATACAAAAGGACACATTCGCCAGTACGTTAGTCAGTTATTCCACTCTCGCAATTAACCTGCTACGGTGTTTATGATAGAAATTTTTCACATCAATTGGTAAGTAAAATTCTTCCTACTTGTTCGAAAGAAGAGCATAGAACATCGGCGACTTATTCTTTTCTTATTTTCTGCAAGGGGTGACTCATGTGCAAAGAGCCGCATATAATTTTCCAGTAAGTGGAGGGAACATGATAATACTACCCCCGGCGCTATCCATGGGCTTCTACTTATCAGATCAAGAGTCACTTCAACTTTATTATCAGCGCTGGGGCCAACAAATCCAAAACATGCTGTCTTTCGAAGATAAGGGCAAAATTCCAGAGATGCGTAAGACAACCTTGCGAGCTCGCAACTCGCAGCCTTGTCAGAAAACTAAAACCTCAGGCCTCCAACTCGTTGCACACAAAAGTTTTGTTTAGTAGACTTTTTCGAAAAGGCTAGCGCGGTACGGTACGAATCGATTTTTCTGGACAGGGTTAGGGTGAGAGGTGCAACATGCAAATCACTCTCTATCACTCGTGGCAACTACCAGCGCCAATCAACATCGCTTCAAGGATGAGGGCAAAACACGGGCAGAAACAGCCCATAATTTGCCCAGCGATCTCACGTAATCCTGCGCATACAGAGAAACGCATCAAGGTCGACCGAATACATAAAAACGAAAGCTCTCTATTTTTGATAAATACAGGGCAGCTGAAACTACTAAGTACAGGTCGCTGGTATATAGAGCTTCACCTTTCAGCCTACTTTAGAGCCTTTCGCTTGGTATGTAATATGCACATACATGTATGGATATATGTATGTCTTAACCCAGGATCCTGGAAACAGGGATAACCACCACCACCACCACCACCACCACCACCACCACCTGAAGCGCTCGCAGTATCTGGGTTGTGCTCCTACCGGGTTAGCTAGGTACACATACCTCAACATCAACCAAGCCAGCCTCGGAGTTTCCCCCGCACCACCCGAATACCAAGAACCTTTGTGGCTGCGTGAGAAAGTTACGGGAAGTGGGATTTTTCTTGGAGCTTGCTCCTTGAGAAGGAGCCTGTTTTTTAGGGCAGTTATTGGAGAATACAGGCATTTTTTCGGGCGTGGCGGAGATATGGGAGGATATATAGGTTATAGGTAGGTCGTCTAGGAATGGTCGGTTTCCACCCCGCCAAATTCATGGGATATCACTCGGTGACTGTCGCTTGGTGGTACGGCAGACCGTTTTTGTGCTCCCGCGCGGGTACCACAAACCGCCGCAGATCACTCCGGACAAACCGAAATAAAGACACGATGGCTTGCAAGATGAAAATTTTGAAAATGTCGTAGATCCGACGTCGGAACCGCCACAATCCAGGATTTAGGAACACATATCCGCGCCTACTGTCAACAGCAGCCAGTCAACCCGCGCTCTAGTGGATTATTTGCCGAAGTGTGATATGAACCCTACACTTGCATGGGAGAAAAAAAAGAGTTTTATGAGTGCTCTGACTCGGAGTTGAACCGAGGATCTCAGCATTACTAGTGCTGCGCCTTACCAACTTGGCCACCAGAGCAGGTAGTCATGTGATAATCTTAGTAGCTTATAATTGTATCAGCTAAAGTTCTGTATTAAATTACTGGCAAAAACTGAACAAAATCCACCACGATGAGGAGAAAACTAGAAACCAGTGGAGTGTTGGGGAATATATTCGGTTACAAGCGTTCATGCAGGCCTTGCGACCGTTGCCAAGATCTATGCTGCCCGGCGTCATTCCATTATTATGGACAACTTCACAACCTGAATTTAACACGATTCTCTCATAATTTACTGGAGGCAACAAGGCGAGTAGAGATAACCAAAACTTGCCTCTGAATTAGGGAAATAGAATTAGATGTAATAAACATGACCTTCGAGCCATATAACCCGAGTTATGCATCCCAAGCCCGTTCGGCATGACAATGATCGGAAGAGCAGTCAAAATATTCAAGAGTACAGGTCAGAAATCGAACCTCGGTTCCCTGATCCGATCGAGCACAGACCAAAAACCAATGTCTAAGCGATATCAAAAAGATCTGCCCGTGATCCTATTTTCAGTAAAGGCAGTAGATCCCTCTTTTAGGGTTGACTGATAGACCATCTTGCAGTGGGATAGCAGGGATCCGACGCAATCGTTTGAGCGGGAACCCCTGTAGCTGCATGCTTACATGGGAACGATACCCGTATGATTTACGTACCTACCGGTATGTAACGGCTTTTTGCACACATCGGGATCGGAGATAATTGGAGGTGTTGGCTTAGTGGGCTCAGTGGATTGCAGGTTGGTACTGGTTACGCTGACTGTGGGATGACGAGTAAAGTTTCTTGATGTGGCTGAAACTGTTAGATACTGGGTCTGGAACTTCTAATCAGCTCATAAGCCAGAGCTCATGGTTGTGATTTAGCTGAGTCCACATATATCGGATATAAATTCATCCCCCAGCGAATTTATGTAATTAATGCAGGCCGCTCAAGAATAATAATTAACCCGGGTCACGTGAATCTAGATCTGGGAACGAGACTACATGCTCAGTGGCTTCAGAAGCGTGTCCTGCAAGAGAACGAGGCCATGAAATGGTGCCGTAGATAAGAATAGTAATGCCTTAATTAAGATAGCATATCTCGTTCCTGCATCCTTTGTAGAAGCGTTGAACGAACAAAACACCCTCCTTCTGTAATCTAGAGTGCTTGATGGTACAATATTGAGACCAGTCTTACTTGTTATATAGCTTAGATCAATTGATCAAGAGATGCATTTGATGTAATCATCCTCCACCATTCAAGTTTTCTATGTAGTTGAGCCCGATTTCCGTACGTTGATCTACAGGGGCGAAGAAAAACCTACTTGCAGGACCGGTGTCGCTAGAAACGAACTGGATGAACGGTACCGGGGGTACTAGGAGAGCAAGGGGTATAAAACAGGATCATAAACGATCACTCAACCTTCTGCATCATAAAAAATCACTCAGCTCTCTTAATCGAAAAGGACCACCCAAAGGTCGGTAGCACACCCGAAGTATCCTCGCAAGAAAATTTCAAGGAGTTCAAGAAGGCATGGAATCATAATATGTACCTTGCCGGTTTCAATTGGACTCTCACTACATAGCTGATTCCCCGCCCCCCCCGGGGGGGGGGTTTTCGTGGGTGTTCGGACGCTTATGTTATTGGCGATATCTTGAAGGATCGGTGGCCAGAGAATTTTGCATGATTGAGGCAGTGCTCTGCTTTTCTAGAAGTTGTGTTGATTCATTGGCTCGTTATATCCTAGCTTGTACATGCGCGGCGTTTTGGGGAGGAGTCGAAAGAAAAACCTTAGGCTCGCCTCCGTCGAGTGTACGTGGCAATATACGTATACAATATCATATTGATGGTATAAAGAATTTAGGGCTTGAAGTGCCTTTCGGAACTATACTATTTTGTCCCGGAGTTTACACACCGTGGATTAAAGCTAAACTGTGCCAAGGAAGAATATTGCAATTTCGTGATTTTATAGTGAGGCTGCATCGGGTACAATTATTATGTAATTCGAAGGGCTGACAATCATGTGAAGATAATGGAATGCGGTACATCTATAGAGCCCCTGTCTTGTTTTCTTTGATTATTCAATATGATTTCTTCCCTTTGTTCTAATGTGCATACAAATGTCTACCAACTATATACAATACCAATTGCAAAAAGAGGATGTATCCGGTACCTTACTGCTTAATATTACATCCCCTTTTTAGGTACTGTAGGGTCTTGGAAATATGAGTAAAGAGTCGCTCAGGCACGTTAGTATGAACTCGTTGTTTCTCCGGCATATGGACATCGAACGTTTACCATTTGAAATGCCCTGACACAGGGAATAATTGAGACTCAGTTGTTGTAATTAAACCAACTACATACGCACTAACTCATGACGTTTCTAGGCTGGAGTGGCTCTGTATAGGTCAGAATTTTGCATATGTCTCAAATAATCCGGAAACGTCATGAAACTGGTAGTAGGATGTTCTTCTGCGACAACAAAGAACCTAAATATCTCTTGTTATATAGTCTTCCATATCATCAGAGCCCAGATAAAAAAGAAGCAATACTCGTTGGCCAAATAAACATGGATATGAGCACTGTCAAACTCCCGAATGAGCCGCGATGGGATACCGAACTTTGGGAGTTCCAAAACAACCTCCGCCGCGCTCGAAACCAAAAAGGCCAACGGCCCAACCCGCGTGATCGGTACTCGCGTGCCCAACTCATTCAAGATCAATTGAACTTTCAACCCAACCTTGGCGAATCGAGGTATAGAGGGGGAACACAGACCTTTGACGACGTACAGGTAACTTATATCTTTCACCGCTTTCCGCCATCAGTCGCGCCCTTGAAAAGTCTTAAAAAGACTTATATCGATAATCTACTTTTGGAAACGAATCACCGCGGGGAGTATGTGGTCCTAAGGACGATTACACCATCTACGAGATTGACGGCGGTTATGTCTGCCGTGGAAGATGAGACTGGGGCGTGTGATCATCTGCAGATATATAACATGAATCGAGATTTGCATCCAAAGAAAATACTACCAGAGGGGCAGGTTGTGATTATCAAGGAGCCATTTTATAAGATGAATCTAAATAGGGGGACAGGCATTCGGGTAGATCATGTGTCAGATGTTATATTCCTCGATCCTAATGACGATCGTATTCCAATAAAATGGCAACCAAGTGTGAAGTCCCCTGGGAAAACTCCTGTTGATTGGAAAGAGGAGGGGAATGCTTATTATAAAAGCAAAAAGTTTTATGAAGCTATTGAATGGTATTAATACCCCAGTTATGTAATTCATTGGATTCTATACTTACCTGCAGCTGTTGTATTTCAGTTACACCAAAGTTATTAATATGGTCCCGGATGATGCTGCCTTAGCTAAGGCTTCACGACTCAATCGCTCGATATCATACTGCTCCACCGACTTTCATGAGAGAGCTGTCGAAGATGCGGAACATGTTCTAAAAGACGATCCTACCAACGAGAAGGCCTTATTCCGTGCAGCGAAAGCTCTTTACCAAGGTCGAAGGTTCACGGAGTGCAAAGCCTATATCACCACTCTCCTCAAAACATACCCCCCAAAAAAAGAAACTAAGGCATTTCTTCTTAAAATAGATAAACGGTTATATGAAGAACGCACCGGCCAATATGATTTTGAAAAGATGAGGCGTCTCACTGGGATTGAAAGGAAGAATGAAGCGGTTAAACTTGACTACGCTGATTTTATAGGTCCCGTGGAAATTCAAGACACTGTAGGCAAGGGGAGAGGACTTTTTACGACTAAGGATGTCAAATGTGGGGAGCTCTTGCTCTGCACCAAAGCTTTTGAGACCTGTTATAGTCACTTGGAGGGCCACTCAATTTCTATCGATATGGTGGAAAATAGGGTTGAAAGAGAATGCGGAGATGTGGTGACCGCGAAAATTATCCAGAAGATATATAACAATCCATCTACGTCAAAGGCGTTTTTGGACCTCTATACAGGAGCGTATGGAGGTGTGAAAGAATGTTTTGTTGATGGAAGGCCTATTGTTGATACGTATAGCTCACCAGACTACTATATCTCTGTATTGGAATGGTATGAATTACTAAACTCGAGTCTACCTTAGGTTCCGGGTGTACCAAACCCAACGTTTGAACAATTTCTCCTGTCCAATAATCAGCACTGCAAGCCATGCTTACTTGACAGGACATAAGAACGGTTGTGGTCTCTGGATCACACCATCTTACATAAACCATGCGTGTTGGAGCCCTGGTACAGTTATTCGATCCTTCATCGGGGATATGATGCTTGTAAGAGCTGGAGGCGACATCGAAAAGGGTGTAGAGATAACGTTCTCATACCTGAACCCTGGCGACATCAATAAACGTCGGCGCTCCTGTTTCGACAATTGGAAATTTATATGTGATTGCTGTCTCTGTGCGGTCGAAGAGCTGGAAACCGAGGCTGATCGAAGGCGCCGTGGTGGAATCCTTATGAAGATTCTCGAATTCGAAAAGTTGCTTGAGAACCCACATCCCAGGGTTTTGATAAGCTCTTTGCCCAAGCTCGTCCTACTTGTCGAGTCGCTTGAGAAAACATATAAAAGACCATCCGCCGAGCAACCTCGGCATATCTTGGCTCGTGGCCTGTTGGCTCTTGGTAAAATATATCGGGAGCTCAAGAGTCACGAGTTGTTCATCGAAACTACGAAGAGTTTGGTGACAGCATTGGCTTTCGATATGGAGGAAGATATGGAGCGGGGCAAGGTTTCGTTCAGAAAGTATGGAGATATGTCCGCGGGAAGTGATCTCTCAGACAACTTTGCTCAAATTGCCGATGCGTATTTTATGCTAAACAACCCTCTGTTGTTTGGGGCCTACATAGAGATTGCAGCTCAGTTTCACGAACTTTATGTTGGTGAGAGAGAGAGCTTTTTAAATTTGGATCAGGAAACAATGCACGTAGCTAGTTAAATAGGATCCATATATGTAGTATAAGCCATTGCAATTAGTAGAACATGGATCACAGGGCTGTAGTAAAACTGTACAACTGTAGTCACATGATAGTCTTTTCCGCAGATTGCTAGGCTGGAAAAACATATATACATCTAATGCCGTTAATTTGCCCTGTGACAGAAAGAGCAGCTTAGATTTTTGGCGCAACCCAACCTCCGAGTGGTATCATTAATAAAATCTCTAATGATTGAAGAACCTGCTTAGGAGATACCAAATTGAAGAGTTTAACCACAACTTATGTATTGGGGGAGTTTTAAGGAATAAATCTCTTCTAATTTTCAAAAAAAAACACTACAACCCATGGCGGGAATGATGGAATGTAATGTACAATATTAAACGATGCGCCGTAAGGGACTCGAACCCTTCCCAGTTGCTATCAAGATTCCCAAGAGGGAGCTCAATGGAAGGCAACTATGCTACCCCTGCACCAACGGCGCTTGATATTATTAAAACTCCGAGATTTTTAATAATGCTAGCAGGGATCGAGTGATAAGATAAGATTGTTGCGAGTGATAGTCTGTGAATAAACACTAAAATTGGTTGAGCATAAGGATACGCGGCCGACCCGGTCGAGGTAGAATTGCGATAGAATACGAAATAAATACATAGAGTACATTGATGAGGTACAAACATTATGAGTTAACTGAAGATACTAGGAGCCAACACGGGCTTGTTCAGTATTAAAAGATAAAAGATGTACGAAAAGAAAGGCTGAACGACACGAATGAGGTTTTTCCATCGGCCGACAGATATGTAACTCTCTGACATGAAATAAGAAAAGGAACGAACACAACAAGTCAACGTTAAAAAGAAGAAAGTAAAGATAATTTGAGTTTTCAGGTCTTCAACAAATTCCCCATTTTGCTTGCTGCCCTTCCCAACAGGCTTTTCCTCCTTATTTCATCGTCGTCGTCATCCCCCTCGAATTGGCTCTCAATATTTTCTCGCACATCGTGTTCCCTTTGCCTCTCATTTGTTACTACTCGTCCAGTATCGTCCAGTTTCTGGTCTCGGTACTCCGAGTCATTTCTCATGGTTGTCATCATCCCCCCAGGGCCAGAGCCATGACCTGTATCGGTGGCACGATGTCTGTCCATGGATGACCTGCGGACAAATCTCTCGGATTCTCGTTCTCGCTCAGCTTGTTGCTGTTCGAGATTGGCGCTTAAAGGATTATTGAGGCGGGCTTCTTGAGTATTGGTAGCGCCAGAACGTTTATTATTCTCAAAAGCACCAGGGATATGACCCGTTTCACCTCCACTACGCTTGACATCTAGCGGGCCTGGATCCTGACTGACGAGGGAAGAATATTTCTGGCCAGGACCGACAATCTTTTGTGAATTGTTTGTTCCTAAAGGTTCCCCGGTGCTCCTCTCCCTTGCCAATCTGAGGGCTTCATTTTGTGTATCCTGCATCTCTTTTTCCAATTCTTCGCGGAGACGTTCAGCTTTAAGGTTGGCGTCATCGCGGGGAGCACTTCCTACAGGGCCCGCTACCTCGTAAATCCTCGCCATCGCTGGCATCCCTTGTGGACTTGGGTCTAGCATTGCTGCACCGCCGTCTCTGGTGATAACGTATCTTTCCCCAAGAGATCTGCGTCGTTCAGGCCATGCTCCTGTCTGATTAGGATCGTTTCGTTCGCGGTCCATGCGCTCCCTATCCATGCGTGCGTGTTGCATATCACGCTCCGTACGCTCACGCATCGTTCTCTCATGCTCTTTCTGCTCATGCTCTATCCTGTCACGATCCAGGTTCTCACGAGGCAGTCGTTGGCCCATTCGTGTTTTATCTTCTCCGTCTCGACCGGTATTCCAAGGAACTTCTTCAGCCTCTCTAGTTGGATTATCGTGGCTGTCATGGCCTGAAATGTATGCTCCTCCCCTATAAGAAACAGAATTTGCTCTCCTAGAACCGCCTCCATCCATTCCCACGGTGTTATAAGAGTTGTTATAGCTATCGTCAAAACTTCCAGGCATACCGCGGGAGCGGGGATGAGGGTTGTAACTATTACCAGATCCAAATCCAGTTCCAGTACCAATGCTATACCCACGAGGTACTGTGTTTGAGCCTGCATTTTTCTCGGCATAATTCCCAATATCACTACTAGGCGTAATTCCCATACTAGAAGCAACGGTTTTCGCCGTATCTACTACGTAGGACGCAGTGTTCGCCATTGTATCCGAAACTGGTCTTGCAGTAATATCCCCACCGGAGGAATAATCACCATTTCCGGACCCCGTATAATGTTTTTCTCCAGTTGTAGTGCTGGGGCCAGTACTAGAAGTAAGACCGATACCAGAAGCAACATCTTTGGCTGTATCTGCAACGTAGGACGCCGCATTCGCCGCCGTGTCTACCATCTTCTGCGTGATAGAAGCTCTATCACTAGAGGCGTACGTACGGCTGTCATAACCGGAGGCGTCGCCCGGAGAATAATTTCTTTCATAGACTCCAGGGCCAGTTTCTGCCTGGAGATTAGAAGAAGGGCCGGCCGGAGGAGCGACGCTCCTGGCTGTATCGGCGATGTAAGATGCCGCATTCGCTGCGGTATCCATCGGCCTCATTTCTTTGACTGTATCCGCCATATAAGATCCAGCGTTTGCAGCCGTATCTCCAGCATATGACGCCGCAGCAGTTGCTGTATCCCCAACGTAGGATGCCGCATTGGCCGCTTTCTCCATTGGCCTCATGGCGGAGACAGTGTCTGCCATATAAGATCCTGCGTTTATAGCTGTGTCTCCGGCATAGGAGGCCGCATTTGCAGCCGTATCCCCAGCGATTGATGCCGCGTTTGCCGCAGTATCGGTTACATGCCGGGTAGCAGATGGATAGTTTTCTCTGGCAGCATAATCTCTACTACCGGAATGTTGCTCACCGGAACTAGGGCCGAGACCAAACTCAGATGCGGCATCACGGCTGTAAGATAACCTGCCTTCGGGATGTGGAGAGGCATGGATTTCACCAGTTCGATGTTCGAAGGGTCCAGAGCGAGAGGGGTCCACGTTTAAGTTTTGCGCATACGAACGAGGGCCATAATCTTCACGAGGTGCTGCGTATGTCCGAGTTCCGGATCCAGTACCGTAGCCAGTTCCAGGAATTGAACTATCATAAGAACCAACACCACCACGACCAATCATATAAGGAGCCAAGTTTGAATTAGATTCCTTGACACCGGGAGAAACATGTAATACAGAATCGCGACCAACATCAGAAACAGCAACGGGTATAGTAGAATTATTAGAACGTGCATTATCATAACCCCTGCTCATACCCATAATATTGGCATCAGAAGTATACCTTCCATCATATCCGCCATTTGCTCTGGAGCTCACACCACCTCCATCAGTATTCATGGAAGTGACGCCGTGCTCATATCCCCTGCCACCGTCCATTCCGCCAACACCGCTATCGCGCTTGCGAGACCTTCCATTTCCCATTTTACCATTTGTCGACACGCCACTTCTGCCGGCATTCGACATCTGTCAATCCGACAGGACCCCCTCACGTACACCATCCCGAGCGTGGAGCTCAGCGCCGCCGTAATTCAAGATGGCCCCATTGCGGGCACCACGCATACCGCGAGCGCCATCACTGTCTAAGTGCCTGTGGTGGCCGTTCTCGTCATCGGTAATATCTTCATAATCATCATCGTTCTCACGATGATTGCGGTGATGATGTTCGTCTGCCGGTACCCACTCGCCAGAACCACGTTGCATGGGGCGGTCTTGATCGGCGAGAGACACCCCTTCGCCGGCGCCGGCACGGGTGCCACGGCCATGGGTACGGCGTGGGCGAGACCCACGCTGGGAAAGGCGGGAGCGAACGGCAGCTTTGGCCTCGACCCAGTTCGTAAGAGCATCCTCACAGTCCTGGATAATACTGTATAGCAGGTTTGTTAGAAAAAAATACAAAAACGATTGACGGGGAACAATGACATACCCTTTGCTTGCTTCGTATCCGTCGTAGGCCGGCCTTGTCTCGCCCGGTGTAACTGGAGTGTCGTCCACGAGCTCCAGCAGATGCTTTCCATATCCAGCGATCAACGCAAGTTTCTCGGAGTGCTCCCTGAGAGCATCAAACTGGTACGTAAATGCAGCCTTGATTTTCTCACGGGTGATATTGGACAATTGCGCTTCAGCTACAAGTGATTCGGCTTCGGCACGAACAAGCTCCTGCTCAAGCACCACGATCTTGGGAGATGTAGGATCCTTGTACTTGAGCTGCGCAATTTGGTCGGTGATCTTTTGTTTGCCTATTTTTTAAAAAAAAGAAAAAGAAAATCAGTGGGCCACCTCAGCAAAGGGACAACAGATAAACTTACGATCACGGCTGGGTTGAACACTAGACTCAATGTTCCTCACGCCCTTAATAGTAACCCTGTATTGATCGTATCGGTCGATAAATTGGTCCTCCAACTCACCCACCTCAAAGATGAGCACACCCAGTTTGTCCGTAATATCAGAAACATCCTCATCACACTCCTCACCCCATATCGAGAGCTGGCGAGCAACCTCACGCCGTTCACGCCCAACAAGTTCCATAGACCGCATAAGATTCTTCTCCATTTTCACAAGCTGAGAAAGCTTCTTGGACAAATCTGGGCCGCTATGGTGAAAGGTATAGTCAGTATTTTGGTCTTTTACTGGAAATCGTTTAGAAGTGAGAATCCTACTAAGCACCCGCCATAGATTTGCGAAGATTATGTCCTGTAGAGGCTCCAAAGAAGTATGAAAACGTCAGCATGTTCCTTTACCTCAAACGCTCGCTTCAATCATTAATTAGGATAACTCAAAGGACACCCAGAACCCAAGAAACGCCGAAAATGAACGCAAGAAACAAAAATAATTGTAGACATATGGCGTTTAGTGGTTACCAACCTATGTTTGAAGTTCCAAACAGCCTTCCAACTTTCGTAGAGCTTTGAGGAGGAGGTGGCTTCTCGATCTGCGACTGGGTCGGCGCCCTCGACTGTCGCATGGAGTAGGTTCGATGCATTCTGAATGATTATAATTACACTAATGTGTATAAGGGCCAGAAAAATTGAGATTCTGCGCTCCGACGGTAGAAGTATGGGTGATGAGAAGGGTCAATTGATAAAGTGTAGAAAGATTAGGGTTAAGGTTATATGCAGGGAGCTATGCAAGCCACGAGAGCTAGAATTATTCCGACGTATTCCCAGCGAAGATCCAGCGACAACCAACCAGTTTCGAGAGAAACTTTAGGTGTGAAAATATGGTGATATAGGAGGAATCGAGAAGAAAAAAAAGAAAGAGGAGAAAGATGTAGAGAAATGGGACGAGTAAGAAGCCCTTTTCTCATCTTGCTGCTCTTCTGAAAACGGATTGAGGTATGACATCATATCTCAATGCGTCATGCAACCAGAACTCTGACAAGCCACCCCCGTCATACCCGAAGGACCAGAACCTTAAGAGGCCCTGAAGTCTGATATACAATATTTCACTTGTGGGAATAAATAGCAACTGCATAGTAGCCCCTTTCCAACGGCAAGCGTTCGTTCACTTAAAGTAAGGGATCAAACCCCGAGTTTTTTAGGACACGCAAAGAAAATAATTGACCTCTGAATTCAACGAATTCATACCACTACTTGATCCAGCAAAAATCCAACTGAGAGCTGTAAAATGCGACTCTCAAAGAACAGCAGGACAGCCACGCGTGAAAAGTGGAGAACATCTAGTTCTCGAATTCACGTCACTCTGAGAAGGCGATGCGTGCAGAACAAGCACTAGATACCAACTCCGAGAGCCCGGAACTTCAGCTCCCGTGCCGACATCGGTTAACTTTAACCGTTACTGGATGTCATCATTTCAGGTTCCAAATTCTTTGTTGAACTTGCTTTTCGCCTCAGATTCCTTATGTGGCGCCATCAGTATCCGCATATTTGGTTGCGGCGATTTGTTCCTTGCGCATTCAGTGTCCCTCTGCTGTGGGGTAATAAATCACCCCGGCCTCTGTCGCGCGCCGCCGGATCAGTACTGCAGTGTGACCCTACTAGCAGGTGCCTGGTGGAACATTCAAACCCTACTAATTCTGCAAACTACACGCTAGAGTAGAATATGGGGAACACTCTATTCCTCACTGAGGTTGTGACGAAATGCTTGTCCGAGTGATTTTCCATGACACGGATACAACCGCAGCTTGATCATTGAACCCGTAAAAACGGAGATTTAACTTGGAGCATCGTGTTAAATTCACTGCTAACGCTCTAGGATAAATTTCCGAAGTTTTTCGCAAGGCATTCGGGCTTTTATCGTTTCGTGTAAAGCCTACAGGGTGATGGCCGTATATTTTGGAAAATTCGTAAATGAGGATATCTGCTCTGGTGGCCAAGTTGGTAAGGCGCAGCACTAGTATGAAATGCTGAGATCCTCGGTTCAACTCCGAGTCAGAGCACAAAACAGTTCCAAGCGGGGCACAGGTCCATGAGAGACTTGTAACTTTTTTTCCAACTGAGAGTTCAGCGACATCCGATCATATAGATCCCTTAAGTGATTCTGTGCTCCCCATCGTTTTGGAGATATTTTTTTTGGTTCAGGATCTTATAGTGATTTTTCTTTTTTATTCTTCGATCTGTTCTGACACCAATGGAGGAATCAATGGAGGAGTCAATGGACCGGGAAAAAAATAAATAAAGATAACCTGTTGGAAAGAAGTCAGTAAACCACCCTCTCCAATTCAGAGTGCTCCCCAAAACCCTAACCCATTCTATCATATCCCTACAACCCTACCTATACATCTTACCCACATCGATAACGACCCAACCTCACGATCCCACTATCGCCCTACAATTAAACACCACACCACAGCGCCGCAGAGATGAACATCCCCGACACCACGCCCACCCCGTCACCCTTCCTGCAGTCCTTCATCTCCCGGACGCTCCGTGTCACGACCACCGACACCCGTGTGTTCCTGGGCGAGCTCAAGTGTACCGATAAAGTAAGTTGTGTATCTTGATTTCGGCCCTTTTTTTTTTTGCGGGGGGAGAAGGGGGGGTTGGGGGCTAACGCAGTGAGCGGGGTAGGACAAAAACCTGATCCTCTCGTCGACACACGAGTACCGCTACCCAAGCGCGCAAGATGTGAGCGCCGCGGCGGCGGCGGAGAAGGAGGGGGGGGAGACGGTGAAGCTGGACCTGAAGAGCCGGTATATTGGCCTTGTGGTGGTGCCGGGCGAGCATGTGGTTAAGATTGAGGTGGAGGAGAAAGGACAGAGGTGACTGCCGGGCTTTGGGGGGCGGGTGGAGATTGCGGTGGAGGTTGCGGTGGAGGTGGTGGGGTGATGCGGTTTGGGCTATGGGGGAGCGGGATGGAGGGGGGATTGATACCTGGTGTTTATAGGATTGAATGGGATGCTTTCTTTGGCTGCAGTGGGGCTTGCGAGTGATTCATGGTGAATGTTAGGGAATGGTTTCAGTTCTACGGGCTGCTTGTGATTAGGTGGGAGATATTATTGGTGACTGGTGGAGCTTGGAGCTCGGATTATTATGGGCGCCAATCGTCATCACAGGCTTTTATCTACAGCAGAGGTTCACCAAACAGCTTCGAACCCCGAGAGAACAGAACATGTCTTAAACCCATATTCACATTCCAACTTTTCCCAGCCCTGCATATGCCCAAAGAAAAGACAAGAAGAAAAAGCTAAAAATAAAAAAACGCCCTTTTTCGATCAAATCCCAAGATATTCTTTTGTTTTCTAGTATTTTCCATCGAAAAATACAGATTTCCCGTTCGCTGCTTGCTCGCTCTGCACCAGACCCCCATTTTTGGTCACCATCATAGTAATTATCCACGTTGTAGACCCGAACCGGAAGAGATATTTCCCCATGTTTTTTTTTAATTGTTGTAAGAAAATACTAGAGAAACACAAGACCTTGACCCCAAGAAAATCCCACACATCTAGAACTTGGTGAAAGACTTTGTGTTCTTTCCAGTGCGAGGGAGGACACGGAGGACGTTGAAGCGGACCTAACACCACCACGAATCAGCACACTGCATGTTGGGGTACAAGTACTCGAGGGGGGTCTCGAAGCTCGCGCGGTTCCAAGTTATATTGCAGCCAAGTTCACAAAGAACTCATATGGCCTAACTTTTTGTGGCAGAACACGCGCTCGACATCTTGCCCGTAGCTCTTCTCAAGTATCATGTCAAGCACGAGGAACAGGGTTTACAAACAGTCTTGGACAAGGGCCTGCACTGGCCGACGGTGACCTGGTCGCCCTCCTCGACACGGAAGGCGGGGGAGACGTGCGCGGCAAGGTTCTTGTGGCGCTTCTCGTAACGGTTGTATTTGGGGATGTAGTGGAGGTACTCGCGGCGGATGACGAGGGTACGGTGCATCTTGGTGGAAACGACGGTGCCGGTGAGGATACGGCCACGGATGGAGATCAGACCGGTGAAGGGGCACTTCTTGTCTATACGTTTCCCTTTCCGTTAGTATTCTTGTACCAAAAAAAAAACTGCCATAGCAACCCCCAATTTTTCCAGAATCTTGAATTTCGATAATTCTGAATCCACAGCCAAAACTTCCGCCCCCCCCCCCCCTTCCATCCATCCTTCCAACGCAAAAAAAAAAAAGCACAAAAAAAACAACTAACCGATGTAAGTCCCCTCAATGGCGGTCTTTGGGGTCTTGAAGCCCAACCCAATGTCCTTGTACCATCTCCTGCCACCCTTTCCGACTCTGCGCTTCGCAGGGCGGGTCTTGCTGGCGAGGAAGATGTGGGGCTGCTTCTGGAAAGCGCGCTCGGACTGGACGGTCAATTCGGTGGCCATGGTTGCTGGATTTTTTTTTGCTTGGGTGTTTTTTTCGGGCTTCTCGAGTCGGTCGGTCGGTTTGCGTCGTCGTGATAGTGTTTTTCGCGGTGGTTGCGCTGCCTAGGGTGCAACGGGCATGTGTGGGCGGTTGGTCGTTGTGTGGTGGGACTGTGGTGGTGGGAGGAAGGGCTGGTGCCCTAGATGGAGATGCAGATTAGATTAGATAATCTTCTGACATCAGATTAGATTAGATTGTTAACCACTCATTGCTATGCAGGCCCCGGAACAACTAAGGGCGCCTCAGTAGGAAACAATGTTTCAATAATCCTTTAGTGGGTGGAACACGGATAAACCCCGAAACGGAGTTTTAAGCGAAAATGTAGGTCCTAGTTGCTTATTGGAAACCTCCGTTTTCATGGAGTTGACGTTGTTTTCGGGACCGGTTGCCAATTAACACGGCAAGTTTTCTCAGAACGGAGTTTCAGGTCTCCAAAACTCCGTCTTAGACTGCCCCTAAGCTTCGGTAGAATGCCCTATCCTCAGGCCCAAGGCCAGCCGTAACATCAAAACCACAAGAACGAGCAACTTTTCCACTTCCTAGGCCAGTATAGAACGATCAATACCAGCTGCAGATTAGCCTCATCCTTTTTACTACACCAGAGCTAGTAGTTCTAAGAACCGCGAATTCTCAACTTTGAAATTCTGTATAAAACAGCTTCTTTGGGATCGTCCCCATTTTGATTTAACTAAAGCACACCTACCTACCGCCCACCAAACATCTCACCGGCACCCCCGCCCGCCCCCCAATAACCACGGCCAGCCAGGCGGACACGAACAGCCACCTGCAGCCCAACAACTGTCAAAAGCGAATCTCTAAATAGTATAAGCCTCCTGATCGTTGTAATCACGAGGCATTTCTATTGGTCAGAACAGTCTACTGTATACAACAGATAGAAGCAAGATGAGTTTATGTACTTTGGCCAGCCATGTACTAGGCCACATCTGTATGTGTCTGTAGGTGTTTTGGTGCAGTACAGTTCCAGCGTGCGAAGTTGAGCGATCGGACAGGAAGAACTATTGGTTTGTTCCTGGTCATGTTATCCTGGGGAAGCATGGTTAATGTTCCATGAGCCCGGAAGTCCTTCAAACATTGTGGCGTTATTCGAATAGGTGTTTTAACACGTTATAGCGGTTACGTGGCTGGACTCGGTTTAGCATATGTGTTAGTTTCGTAGAGCCTATAACATTACGCTGCGGCACCATTATCATCATGCATATCTCCTGCATCCGAGCAAAACCTTCGATAGAGAAAATATCTCAAACGCCAATAGCCTGAAAGCGTGTGGGGTTCCTGTGGCTCTCTGCGGCAGAGAGTATTTCTAACCATTGAGAAGTTCTTCCGGCCGCCGATAACCTGAGGCGTAAAGGATCTCAAGAGAAGCATTCACGCACCGCCACAGCAGCACCGCCACAACCAGATGCCTAAGTAATCTCTCCAATCCCCCCCAGCAACAACAACAACAAACACCAAAAACTCGCGACTCCCAGCTTGACAAACCGTGCTAAAACCCGAGCAGCGCACCCCACATGTGAAGCCCTGATAGCTGCAACAACGAACAAACAAAACACAACTCGACAGAAAGCGAAATGTCGTCCAACGACAATGCAGCAGCAGCACCGGGGAAGCGGCGCTCCCGAAAGTCGATTGCAGTGATGCCGAATGCGGCCGCAACAAACAACAACGTACCGGAGGGAGGGAGCAAGGAGAGCACATCATTAGCATTGAAGCCGAAGAAGAAATCGAGGTCGAAGAGTCTGGGGCCGGGAGGACTGGACGCGAACGGTGGTGCGAGTGCGGAGAATGGGTTGAAGAGTGGCAGTGGGAATGGGAGGAGGGAATCTGTATGTTTTTTTCTTTTCTTTTTCTTTTTCTTTCTTGCTTTTGGTGCGGCGGGAGGCTGCTGGACTGGATTGTTTGTCTAAGTATCGCCCTACTGCTGCCTCTTGGTTCTTTCTATGCACAAATAGCTATGTCTACATCTGCCCTTCTCCGTCCAAACATCTCCTCTGCTTCTACACTGCACTACACTACCCCACACTCCCGCAGCTTCACTTACGGTGGATTGATTGATTGCATCTTCTACAGCTCTAATCCAGAAAGCTAACCTCCTCACCACCACAGCTCGCCCCCGCAGCCACCGTAAAATCAATCCTCAAACCCACCCTCCCCATCTCCCCCCTCAAGCCCATCCCCGCGCACCGCACGCGCTCCAGCCGTGCCCCCCTTCCCCCCTTCACCATGGCGCCCACACACACCGCCGCAGGCCCCTCTAGCAAACCGCCCAAAACACCCGCCACCACCACCCCCTCCTCTTCCGCCAGCGCCCTTAACTTCAACCCCCCACCCCCCACCACCACCGTCCCCATCCGCACCGAAGAGGAGCAGCAGCGCCGAGCCGAGATCCTCGCCGCCCGTGCTGCCCGCCGCCAGTCAATGGGCAACCGCCGCGTCTCGTTTGCGCCAGAGGCTACCCTCCACACGTGGGACGTCATCGAGTACTACCCGGGCACAACTGGCACGCCCGGCTCATCGAGCAGCGGCAGCAGCAACGCCAGCACCCCCGCCAACAGGGGGCCCGGGAATCTCAGCACTATCGAAGCAACGCCTACAGAGACGTCGCTCGCAGCAGACGACACGCCGGTGCGGCTACCGGAGGCGCTGGGCGGCGGTGGGCAGGACCCAGTAACACCCATGGGCGCGGCCCAGCAGAAGAGGAATTTCGAGTCGCCGGTGTTTTCGTCGTCGCCGTTCTCGTCCAGCCCCGAGAGTGCGTTTGGGGGGATTGTGCAGGGAGACGACGGTAGTGAGCTGGACTCGGAGTCGGAGTCGGGCTCGGAGGACGATGATGATGAGCCTGGCGTGGGGGATCGCACGTTCATGACTATGGGCGGGGATGAGACGATGGGGGAGCTGACGATGGACATTGCAGACGACGAGGTGACGGGCGCTGGGTTTGGGGCCTTCGGGAAGCGCAAGGCGTGGAAATTGGAGGGCAGCACTGAGACCGTCGAGGACCCTACGGGCGACGATGATGAAGGCGAACAGAAAGCTGCAACAACAACAGCAACACCGAAAGAAGACGAAGAAGAAGAAGGAGGGGAAATGACGATGGAGATGACACGCGCCGTGGGCGGGGTTCTTCCTGCGGTGGTTGAGTATCCGGCGCTGCCGGTGTCGAAGGAGGACGCTAACCAAGAAGAAGATGATGGCGGTGAAATGACGATGGATATGACTCGCGCCATTGGCGGTGTTCTCCCACCGACGTTCAGCAACCCGTATGTCGAGAAGGAGAAGGAGGAGGAGGAGGACGCGGGCATGGATATGACCATGGACATGACCCGCCCCGTCGGCGGGATTCTGTCCAGCGCCGCCAACGCTCTACAACGTGCCACACGGAAATCACTTGGCTTCCTCACCTCCGCACCTTCGGCCCCCCCAGCAGCTGCGCCGGCGGCCGACGAAGACGGAATGACGATGGACATGACCGTTGCCCTCGGCGGCATCCTCTCCAAGGCCCCCGAGACCGAACCAGAGCCACCGTCCTCGCCGATGGGTGGGGATATGACAATGGATATGGATATGACACGGCCCATCGGCGGCATCATCTCTGCTGCGCCTGCTAAGCCTGCTGCGCGCTTTGCATCGTCGTCGCCTGCGAGCTCTGATGCGGAGAACGAGGAGATGACGATGGAGTTTACGTCTGTGATTGGCGGGATCATCGGGGAGGGGGCCAAGACTGGTGGGCGGAGAAGCTCACTGGCCAGAGGTGGCGGCGCAGGGAAGCTCATGAGCGGCGCGGAATGGGCGAAACAGCAGGAGGCGCAGAAGAACGGGGATAAGGAGAACAAGGAAGATGAGGATGAGGATGAGGATGAAGAAGATGGCGAGGGAGGTGGAGATATGGACTTTACGGTGGCAGTGGGCGGGATAATCTCTAAACAGGCTGAAGCACCACCGGCATCGACATTCCCGGGCAAGGACACGGGCGTGAACGAAGACAGCGACGACGAGGATGACGATGGCGATGTGGACATGGACGGCGTCACGATGGACATCACGACTGCCATTGGCTCAATCCTGCCCTCCAAAACCGATACCCAGGACGAGTGGACACCCGCGTCGATTCCTGCGACGGCCGAGGAGGAGGCCAAGGACATCACTTCGTCGCCCACGCCGGCCAAGCGCGGCGGGAGAAGCAGGAGGAGCAGCAGTGCTACGAGTACCGCTTCACCGCGAGTCACCCGCAGTGCCCGAAAGACGCCCGATGCGCCGCCGCACGCCGAAGAAAAGAAGGCCGCCGAGAGCACCCCCGAAGCCAAAGCAGAGACTCCCGTCCAGAAGCGGCAGACACCGACCAGGAAGGCAGCGACACCAAAATCGAAGAGCGCAACACCAAAGAACCAAGGCAAGAAGCCCGCCGAAACACCCACACCCAAAACCGAAACTCCCGCCCTAGCCGAACCTGCAAAGCCCGACTTCGTCTTCGCGACCCCTCAGAAGAAGACACCCGCTCCCTTCTCGCAGCCGCAGACACCGCCGGGGCAGGCCACACCCGCCATCCCCCCGCGCCCAAAAACACCCAGTAAGCACACGCCAATGATCCAGACGCCGCTGCGCCAAGTCACGACCCACGGCTTCTCCCTCAGCACCAAGAAGCCCAACACCTTCCCGACGTCGCCGTCGCCCGCCAACCGCATCACCACCCCGCGCACCGACGCCCCAGGCTCACCAAGCACCACCAAGGGCGTCGGCATCAACAAGCTCGGCCTGGGCTCACCGCGCGTCGCCGCGAAGCTCTCGGCCAGAAAGAGCCTCACCGAGACCACGCTCCCCTTCTCGCCCCTCGCGGTCCCGAAGGACCTCCTGAAGGCCAGCAAAGCCGACGACGCCGCAGACCGCGAAGAGGAGCAGAAGGAGCGCGAGCAGGAGCTCGAGCGCCGCAAGGGCCTCGACCTCAAGAGCCGCATCGACCTGCTGACGCCGCGCAAGGCGGCGAGAAAGAGCCTTGCGTATGGTGCGCTGCTGCAGGGGAAGCGGGAGAGGGATGAGGACGTGACGGGGAGCTATCTTGGTGGTGGGAAGCGGCGGAAGAGCTTTGAGGCTGCGACGACGACGCCGGCGAGGAGGAACTTTGACTTTGATAAGGCGCCGAGTCTGCCGACGCCGGGGCAGGGAAGGACGCCCAGGAAGAAGGCTGTCACGATTGCGGCGGAGCCGGTGGTGGCTAGTAGTCCGATGGCGCCGCCGCCGCCGCCGCTGAAGCCGGTGGTGGCAGATGAGAAGATGGAAGAGTCGTCCGAGGAGGAGATTGAAGAGCAGGAGGAGGAAGAGAGGATCACGCTGCAGCAGTTCTTGTCCATGACGAGTATCAGCTTCCTCGACGGGCTCACGACCACCAAGCGGCGGCAGACCGGCTTTCCAGGCCTCGAGCTGCGCCGTGGCGCGGGGCGCCGCAGCGACATGGGCGGCGGCGACGACGAGGAGGCCGAGGCGCCGATGGGCGACTGCGTGATTGCCGGCGCGTGCACCGTGCCCATGCTGGAGATGTTCCAGCACTCGTGCCGCGAGCTCAAGCAGTACATCAAGGAGGGCCGCGACATCGTGCGCGAGATCGAGCAGGACACGGCCGACGACAACCCGCCGCTGTTCCGCGAGTACCTCGACGCGCCGCCCGACATCAAGGTCATCATGGACACGCAGTTCAAGAACGTCAAGACGCACGCGCGCTTCCTCGCCAGGGGCATCTGGTACAAGTGGCGCCGCCAGCTCATGGAGGGCGTCAAGACCGCGCTCGAGAGCAACCTGCACGACATGAAGGGCGACGAGGCGGCGCTGGCGGCGGCCCAAGAAGCCGCAGAGGCCACGCTGCCGGCGCTGAAGGCGCGCTTCGAGGCGGCGGCGAGGACGGCCGCGAGGATGGAGGAGGCGAGGCGCCGCATCGAGAACGACGATAAGGAGCAGCTGACGCAGGCGCAGGAGGGGCTGAAGACCGTCACGCAGCGCATCGAGGAGGTCAAGCTGAGACTCGCGCAGCGCAGCAAGGAGCTTGCAGAAGTCAACACGCACATCGAGGCCAAGGGCGCGCGCAAGGCCGCGCTGCAGTCGGCAATCGACGAGGCGGAGCGCGTGAAGGAGCAGAATCGAGGCTGGAGCGAAGACGAGGTTGCGGGCTGGGCGGCGAGGGCCACGGCGCTCGAGAAGCAGTACGGATGGGCCGTTGTGGGCGTGCAGGGGGCCGTCGTGGAGCTCTCGTTCCTGCGGCAGCTGCGCGTGCTGTGGGATGCGACGGGCGCGCGGTCGGCGACGGTCGAGTACATGACTGCGGCGGTGCGGAAGCCGTCGGACCCGCTGCCGCTGGAGAGCACGGAGCGCGAGTTCTTCGTCGGCGCGCTGAACGCGCGGCTTGCGGGTGGGGCGGCGGGGCGGACGCTGAAGGGCGCGGTGGCGGAGGTTGATGCGTTCTGGCGGCGGTGCCTGGGCGTTGCGGAGGAGATTGAGCGGGTGCGGGGGTGGTACCCGGTGGTGGTGGTGCGGGAGGCGGAGGGGGAGGGGGAGGGGCGGTTGCTGGTGGCGATTAAGGTGCTGGTGGCGGAGGTGCGGAGTAAGGTTGTCATTGAGGTTGTTGTGGACGCGGACCTGGGCGTGAGTAGTGCGGCGAGGGTGGTGTATGGCGGCGTCAATGGGGAGGCGGTGGGCGAGTTTGTGGGGAAGATGCTGGGCGTGGAGGGCGCGTGGAGGGCCGTGGTGGATGGTGTGGTCGGCAGGTGTGTGGACGGGAGGAGGCGCGGTGGGGTGGGCGTGCCGACGAAGGCGTAGATTGATGTGGGTGTTTTTTGTGGTTTTTCTTCTCTTTTTTTTGTGACGGGTAGTTGGTTGTAGTTGTAGCTTGGGATAACTTTGTTCTACATTCTCCGTTTTTTCTTTTTTTTCTTTTTTACGATTAGTTTTTTAAAGAGTGTACGCTTTATGGGCTGTGATGGGGTTATGGATTATCCTGAGTCTTCTTTTTTTTTTTTACTCTTTTTTATTTTTGTTTTTGGTCCTCTGAGGATATGGAGGATGTGTGCGTGGGTACGGTGGTTATTTTGCGTTCGACTTTGAGTAGAGTAGTTGCTTGCTTGGTTGATTGCACTTCACACTTCAGTTAATTGATTTTCGATTATTTGTAATTGCTGGAAGAAATCGATTCGTGGCTAGCTGTACTCTGGAAAAGGAGGATGGTCTGTCTACATAGCTAGAGTAGGTGATGTATTCTTCGCTGTGGAGAACAGGAGGACTAGAATTTTGATGGCACGAGTGATCACCCGTGAAGAAGCCCACCAGTCCAGTACTAGAGCACATATAATCCGTCACGGGATATCACTCGCTTCGAGCGACGGTGCTACATAGTATTTCTGGACCTTGTTACATGATGAGCACAACACATGTATGTATTTAAATTATAATCTTAGATGCCTGAAAAAGGTATCCAGTGGACACTAGAGCAGCCATCGTGGCAGGCCGGGAAAAGAACAAAACCTTGTGGCTCACGATTAAACCAGAAACATGAGCAACACAAAAAAATTATAATACAAGTACTTCTATAACAACATTCTGCCAACCGGGTACACCAGCCACTACTAAATCTTCGCCGCCCTCCGCCGTCTCTTCGGCGCGTTCTCCACCACCACTCCCCCCTCATCGTCATCCCGATACCCATCCTCGTCCTCGTCCGCCATATTCTTTCTCTTCGCCTTCGGCTTCGCTTTCGGCTTCGCCCGCTTCTGCCGCTTCGGCTTCGGCTCCACCGCCTCCTCCTCCTCGCCGCCGTCGCCGTCGCCGTCGTCCCCACCACCCTCTTCCTCCTCCTGTCCTTTCCGCTTCCGCACCGCCTGCTCATGCAGACTCAGCATGGCGCTCTCCAGCCGCTTACTCTTATTCTCGGCCCTCCGTCTGGGGGCGAACGCGCCGGCGCCGGTGCTGCCGTCAAAGAACTGCGTGATGTTGCTCTGCGTGCCCTCGGCCTGCTTGCGGTTCATGTCGCGGATGACAGGGACGAGCACCTCGTCGGTGCGCTCTTGCGACCAGCCGATGGTGGCCATGAGGAAGTCGCGGAGACCCTCGAGGTCGGGAACACCCCACTCGAACGGCGAGGGGTCCTTGTCGACTTCGGGGTTCAGGTAGGCTTCGTCTACCTCGGGCGCGGGGAACGAGGGCGGGAGGAAGATCTTGGTGGCGTTTTTGCGCTAAGGGTCGTTAGCTTTGTTCCACGGTGTTTGGTAGGGGATGGAGGGGGAGGACTTACGAATTTCTTCCTGAATTTGTTCTTTGCGTCGTCTGCGGGCTTGGAGGTGCCTTGCTGGACTGCGGTCCACCAGTCGCGAAACTTCACTAGGCCGTCTTCGCCGGAAAACTCAACCAGCAACTCCAGTGCTGTGACCGGGCCAACGCTGGGCAGCCCTTCCGTATAGTCGCTCCCGAGCAGGTGTGCGATCCGGATCAGGTTTCTTCTATCTAGACTAAACTCCTTCTCCAGATCACTTGCAAGGTAGCACTCAACAAACTTGGCCTGATTGAACATGTTCTTATACACTCTCGTGCCGCCAAACAGAAAGGTATCCGAATCATCCGTCACAATCCCATCCACAAGCCCGAGGTTTACGAGCTCGGCGCACTGTGCTTCAGCTTCCATGGGCGCAGTAATGTATGGTATTCCAAAGAGCTTAAGAAGCTGCTGGCATTCTTGAATCATGACTTGGGTGACTTCGTCGGCATCACGGCGATCTTTAGCTTGCTGTGCACGCAGTGATCTGAGCTCGCGCTCGTATTCCTCGCGGACCTGTTCCTGCGACTTGTTGTTCAGCTCGGCGGCGAACCGGGCGTGTTCTTCTGTCTCGGCGGCGAGGGATTGGAAGAGCTCTGCGTCTTCTTCGGGGTCTGAGTAGACGCTTTCTTCGTCCTCGAAAGGCGGCGTGGCATCGCGGAAATCCGGCTCTTCGAGGTCTGGAGGTGGGGGCGAGTCCCCTGGTGCCATTGCAGCATTTGGACGTGCCACATCGTGAGTCGAAGGTGCTGATGGCTCCGCCGTAGCCTCTTCGTAGTCACTATCTTCCCATTCCAATTCATGGTCACTGCCTTGAGCACCGCTGCTACCCACAGCAGATTCCCCGCCTTTCCTTGAACTGGCTTGTTCAGGGATAGTCTTTGGGGGTACAGCTCGAGCTTTATCAGCTATATCGCCCATCTTGCTCTTCCCGTTTGTAGGAAAGTCCAGCACCATCACATCATCCTCGTCTGAGCTTTCGATCAAAACTGCATCCTCTCTTTGCTTTTCAAGCGCTTCCCTTTCTTGCCTTTGCCTCTCCTCCCTTTCCTTCTTGATTCTCTCGTCATCTAGCCTTTTCTCGCGGGTATATTCCTCTTTCTCACGGTTCGCTTTCTGCATCTCTTCCTTGAGGTCCTTTGTCTCGCCGACGAACCACGGCGGGAGTGGCAGCGATGGTTCATCCGGATTCTCTCGTCCACATTCTTTCTCTTTCTGTTTTAATTTCGGCTCATCCGGATTAGGTTTTTCTTTCTTCTCTGGTTCCTTCTTCTTGGTCAAGAGACTTTTGCTTTTACTCAAATCCAACGACTCGAACGGGAGTAACCCGCCGAAGGGGTTCGAGGGGGTCGGCGCCGGAGCCATAAAGCTAGTAGCAGTGGTAGGAGCAGAGGCTCCGCTCCCCTGTCCTGGTTTGTTATACCCCGAATCACTTGGCTTCATATTCTGCATACGTCTTGACTCTTCCAGCGCTTTCTGGAGATCATCATCACCATTATCTGCGGGTTTCGGCAGAATCGGGACCAGCTCTCTTCGAATATATCGTCTTTCCACTGCTATGCCCTTGCCTTTGCCAATTATAGAATCGTCATCGTCATCGTCCTCCTCCTCCTCCTCCTCTTCATCTTCTTCCTCTTCCTCAGCGATATCACTGAGATCTCGGCCGATGAAGATATCGTTGGTTGAGAAGTCATCATTACTTATATGATGCGAGCTTGAACTCGAACTTGGTACTGCGAGTGACATTCGTATCGCTTCCTGTAGAACTTCGTCGTCGTGTGGGTATTGTCCTTCATACTCTTCCTCTTCATCGCTAAGGGTATTTGAGGTATGCTTCTGAGCGAACAATGGGTTGCTGTAGTAATCATCATCATCCTCTTCCTCATCTCCGCCCAGAAATAATGGGTTCGGGTTATGTGATATTGTAGCTGGGCTTTTGCCCTTTCCGAGAATTTTTGAGCGGGAATTGCCACTGCCAAAAGCTTCTTTCCGGCTCTCATATATCGCCCGTCGAAGCATTTGCGCCTCCGGATCTTCGAATGGATTGAAAGCTTCATCTCTTTCCTCCTCAGATCCTTCCTCCTTGTCCCACCCCACATGTATTTTGGGCAGTCTATTCAGCCCTTCAATTGGAACATCCTCAAAATCATCCTCATCGTCATCCATGGGATCGTCTTCCTCAAGCTTCTCTGTGGTGTCTACCACAATTGGTCTAGCCTGCTCACCCTCTCTATCTCCCTTCTGACCGACTACCCCTAGAGCCCAACCGCCTTCTACCCCATCGTTGCGTACAAGGACGTATTCCCTCCCTCGTTCACCAGCGACTCGGCTGATGTCGAGTGTGTTCACTTCATTGGCACCGTTGAGGTTCATGAGACGCTGTGTCAGCTCATTTCTTTCCTTGACTCTCTCGATCTGGAACTTTGAGAAGTCAAGGCGGTTGGGGAACATTGCGTCCAGCTGTTCTTTCGATAGACCCATCCGTAGGCGTGATCTGAGTCTAGCAGCATTAAGGATATTGTGGCGATCAGCTGGAGGGAGTGAGCAGAAGAAGGGCGAGTCAAAATCAATCTTGGAGAAGTCGTAGAGACTCATTTCCTCCCCGCCTCGAAATTGGCGTGCGTATTCCTCGAGCTCCTCTGTCGACATGATTCGAGGGTCGTTTGGCTGGCCCATGTTCTCTATTGATGTATCTAGATCTGGTAAATGGTAAGGGTCGGTTTTTCTAAACGCGCCCTGTCGATTCTTTTTGATTTGTTCTGGTGTTTGCATTAACTCGTCCACATAGACTACATCTTTTGGGATAACCTCCTCTTCTTCCTCTTCATGGTGCGTGACATCTGTCCATCCCTCTTCCTTGTCCTTGGCCCTCTTCTTTCTCCTCTCATTCTCCCTATCCGCCTCTCTTTGCACCTGCAAAGCTAGGATTCTTCCTGCAGTTCTTCTTGCATCCTCCTTCCTCCCTTCTCTCCTTGACTTTCTGCCAGCGATAGTCTGCCTCTTCAAGGCCGGCGCGCCTCCATCAAACACAAACACTGGTCTCACTCCATGAAACAGCAGCTTGCATATCCTTCTGAAGAACCCGATGATGTGAGAGTTCCGTAGCGCGTTCCCCTCGCGGTCACGGACAGCTTTGAGGAACTGGTAGATCCAGATGGAGGCGTCGACGGCGAGCCGTTTCCTAGCGAGCGTTTCGAGCTTAATAGGGCGGGCACACGGTTGGATTATGGTCCACAGGCCGGTGACACCCATTGCGAGAGGCGGTTAGGTAGAGACTGGTGGTGTTAGTTGGGGAGCAGAGCATGGCTGAGAGGGGGGGGAGTGGGGAGCTTACAAGGCTGGAGGTAAGGTCGCAGCGAGCTCCGGGAAGTCGCGTCGGGTCTGTGTGTTACGTTGCACAGACTGGCACAGACGGGGCGTGGGTTGGTACTGTCTCAAAAACCTAATAATATGGGGTATTGGGGGGGGGGGTTCACGAGCAAAACACAAAGAGCGTGATCATAGGGGAGCAAGG